ATCAACATGTGTCCCCTCTTCTTCATGTCTCTTCTACATCAACATGTGTCCCCTCTTCTTCATGTCTCTTCTACATCAACATGTGTCCCCTCTTCTCCATTTCTCTTCTACATCAACATGTGTCCCCTCTTCTTCATGTCTCTTCTACATCAACATGTGTCCCCTCTTCTTCATGTCTCTTCTACATCAACATGTGTCCCCTCTTCTTCATGTCTCTTCTACATCAACATGTGTCCCCTCTGTGGAAAGAGCCTCTGAATGTTTCAGGAACAAAGATTCTCTCTCTTTTGATCCATTTCTATAAAAACCTGTCTGAAAATGAGCTGATCAGATTTTGGCCACTTTATGATGTCATAACGATGTTTTGTCTTGTGTAACCAATAGCCAATCAGCAACCAAGGTAACCCCCCCCACCTTATCACCTGAATCTCCTCCTGGAGCACCATTAGCCGCTTTCACACCAAATACTTTGCAGTACTTAGTCCCCCCAAACTCTTTAGTCCCTCGAACTGTCCCAGTAAATCGCGTTCACACCGGAATAAGTTCCCTGAGGGAAGATTACGCAAATAAAGCCGCTGACGTCACTTCTTCTTCTTCTGCTTTGGGTTTACTGGCAGGCCGCAAACAACTTCACGGCGTATACTGCCACCCGAAGTCCCGGGTAAATCGCCAGAATGCCGACACCTCCTCATCACTCCACCGCTCCCACGTTTTCTTTTGTGTTGCCATAAGTTAGTCTCTCTCCGTTTATGCGCTGGGCTAATGCTAATAATGCTAATCCGAGCAAATAAAATGGCGGAGTTTTACGGGGCGTGGTTTGCACCTTTTCCTCCCCAGGAAAGTACCACCTCTCTAGCAGGGAGTGAAAAGGGGAGGAAAAGTCCCGAAAAAAAGTTCTAGTTCCAGATCTTTTTGGTGTGAACGCAAAATCCTAGGAACTATCGCAACTATACTGGGAAAGTACTCCGGTGTGAAAGCGCCAATTGTGTTCTTTTTTACCAAATATCTCTCAGACAGACTGCAGAGCAGGTGGATTTTTTCTAGAAATATTTTTGACTTTTGTAAAATCGCAACCTTTGTCCTCACAATATGACCAAAATGTGTTCTTAGAAACAGTTAAGTTGGGTCAGAATTGAATGTGCAAAAAGCTCTGAATATGAGCAGATATCGATCTCAAAGACATATTAGGTTTTTAAGTCTTTGTTAAGGTTTGTAAATTAAGAAAAAGGACACAACAGAGGAGGGTAGTGTAAAGTATCTTTCATTAGATGAGAAAAGTTTGATCTACAGGAGAATAAATACTTCAATGCCTAAGAGCCTTGCTGCATCATCTTCCATTTATATATTTATACTTTGAAATGTCACCTGGCACATAAACAAAAAAATTTCCACTATAAATTGGTGCCTGAAATTCCCCAGAATGCAGAAATAATGAAGTGTGTAGGAGGCGGCGGCGGGCCCCCTGCCTGATTTGTGTTCTCACAAATGTCTCAACGTCCTTGCAAACTCAGAATCAAACAAACAAATAACGTGTTTATCTCCTGTTTGTCTCCCCTCAGAAGAACCCAGGAGCGTCTCCCCCTGAACCCCCACAGACTGAGAGCAGGCTACGAGTTCCCCCCCCTCCACGTCCCTCAGCCAATCACAACGCAGCAGCAGCAGCAGCAGCGGTACCTGGCCGAGGGCACCGATTGGTGAGTCTCTGACCACACTTTCTCTCACTGATTGTGCTTTTATGTTAAATGTTTGTTGTTTGTTGTTCAGGTATTGTGTCTGGATGTGTGTCTGTTGATGTTACACATGGAGCTGCTGTGATGCAAGTCAACTTTCAGACTTGATCTGACCATTAAGTATCATCGTATCGTATCGTCCTGCAGAGAAATGTTTTATTTGATTTTATTGTACCTTTATTTAACCAGGATAGGTCTCATTGTCCGGCAGGGTCTCAGTCAGTAGGGGCTTGGACTGGGAGCCGGTTCAAGTCCCCGATCAGACCTAAATATGGAGTGTGGACCGCTACTTGGAGAGGTCCCAGTTCACCTTCTGCCCTGCCGTGGTGCCCTTGAGCAAGGCACCGGGCGCTGTACTACCCACTGCTCCTAGTACTAGGTTAAAAGCAGAGAACACATGTCACTGTGTGTGCTGTGTGCTCTGCATGAGTGACCATCAAAGAGGGGTTCATCCCTCCCATTCTATTCTATTGAGATTACAAATATTATTTTCAAGATGGCAGAAGATAGGTCACAGCACAGTTACAGACACATTTAAAACACACACTCACAACACAGTCATACAACAAGTTAGCCAAAGCATTGACAGCCACAGCGGCTGCTTCAGCGTTATTTCAAGGTCATTTAGAGATTCTTTAAATGACCTTGAAATAACGCCGTCTGTGTGTCTCACAGTGAGGGTGATGATGTTGATCAGTTTCTCTCTCTCTGTCTCCCCCCTCCCCCCTGCAGGGACCTCAGTGTGGACGCCGGCCTCCCCCCCCCTCAGTACCAGCTCCAGCAGCTGCCCCAGCACTACCAGCATTACCTGGCCTCTCCCAGAATGCATCACTTCCCCAGGAACACTTCCTCTGCACAAGTGGTACGTCCTGCTGGTTTGTAATCTGAGTTGTCATCATTATGTGTTCATTATGTGATGTGTTGTGATTTTAAAAAGGTGTCTGTTATCATCTGGACAACAGCTGGAAGTTAGCATGTTGGCTAAAGCTGCTCCATTTACTGTTGTTAGTGACAGCTGATCAATGGGGACTGTCCACGACACTATACACAAATAAACTAAACTACTCACTGGACCAATAGGCCTAATATTGTACGTGCACATTGCTTACTGTTTGCTTAAGGACCTCTTATCATATTGTATTTTAAACCCTCTTTGACAGCTGACTCTTTACTCCTTTGAACTGTCTGCTAGGCGCTGCAGGTGATAAAACGTTTTAGTATTTAAAGGCATCTCCAGCCATCTGCTCGGCTGAAAGCAAGCCTTACTCTGAGTCTGTTGCTACCAGCATGGTGGCCTTTTGTTGTGGCTGAGAAGCTCAAATCCATAGATAGATTTAGTCTCCTTCTTCAACTGTAGCATCTGAAGGTTTATTCCACAGCGGTTATGTTAGGATCCACTTAAGTTAGGCACATTACAAGATGATTGAATACCTGATCCCAGGACATTTGAGTGAGATTCTGGGTGTTTCTCAATTTCAAGTACGCTTGCTTGGTAGCACATGTCTTCCGAGTCACTTCCTTCAGAAGAAAGGCAAGAATACTTCCTGGCATTTGGAAAACAAAGAGTGGAACAGGCTAGCAAGTGTGCAGGTGTGTGTCATATAAGAGGCCTTACATTTTCCGCCACAGATTTGGGGAAATTGGTCCGTGCGCAAAGCATTGTGGGGATTTTAAGACCGCGGAGTCTACACATGTGCAGCCTCGAGATTTCTCCAAACGAAGTACGCCGGGCTCGGTAGACGGTATGCTGGACATTGGAACAGTACTTCGGCGGGACTCGATGAGGTAGCATCCTTGAAATAGTGGCTCTGTAGCAGCTTTCCTCGACATTGAGAAACACCCCCAGAGAGACAAACCTGCTAGTTTCTCCTGTTTGAAAGATATATTTTCCTATAAGTGAAGGTTTTTCTTGGTGGATTGAATGTTTAGACAAACTATGTTCTGCTTTGAAAGACGTGGTGTTTGCTTCCCCTTCAGTATTCTCAAAAGATTGTGTTTTTATTTCTAAGAATGCATAAAAACTATTTTAAAAGACTTTGTTTAACAGTTTTTTTTTGCTGTAATTTGATGAAGAGTTCCCCTTTTTTCAGGTTGTGCATGAAATCAGAAACTACCCGTACCCCCAGCTGCACCTGCTGGCTCTGCAGAGTCTCAATCCTTCCAGGCACGCCACCGCCGTGCGAGAAAGCTACGAGGTAAACGCTTTTCATTTAAGAATCTATCAGAGCAAGGAATCCATCGAACAAAAAAAAGGACTTCCTGTTCTTCTCGGCATAACATTTCAGCTTAAATGTTCATTTCTTACCTTTAAAAAATCAGTTACACAAATAAATCTCACCTTAATCTCAATATAGTAGCTGTGTTGTGTTTTTTAGATTGTACTTTATCCTATTCTAAACCCTATCCCCCCTTCCCCTCAGGAGCTGTTGCAGTTGGAGGACCGTCTGGGCAGTGTGAGCCGAGGAGCCGTTCAGACCACCATCGAGAGGTTCACCTTCCCTCACAAATACAAGAAGGTAGGCCCATACCTGCAGGATGACACCCAGAGAGTACACACCTCCTTTCCTCAAGTAAAAGAACAGATACTCGTGTTTAAAAATACTCTGGTGAAAGTAGAAGTACTGACTAAACTTCTTTACTCAAGTCAAAGTAAAGAGGCTTTGAAATGTACTTCAGTAAAAAGTACCCATAACTAGCAGCTGTTTTAAAGAGTACCTGACCTCCCTTTATATTAATAGAACAATAATGTCATTGTTAGCTAATGAATGTTTCCATGTTGAACAACGGCAACATGACAACGTTTTCATTGGTCCCTCTTCTTTAGAGAAGACCAGGAAATGATGGATACACGGATCGTGTTCAAATCAATAGGCACTCAATGACTCTAAATAATAATGATCACGCCACCAAACACACATTCAGACTAAAAGAACCAGCCTGTTTGGAAAATGTGAGAAGTAGAAAGTAAAGGTATTTGGGTTCAACATGTAAGAAGTAGAAAGTACAGGTATTTGTGTTCAACATGTAAGAAGTCAAAGTCAAAAGTCGTCAGAAAAATAAGTAGTGGAGTAAAGTACTGATACCAGAAACATGTACTTAAGTTCAGTAACAAAGTATTTGTACTCCACCTGTCTGACCCTTCCTTATCTGCTCTTCTCACAGAGGAAGCCTCAGCACCTGAAGACCGGAGAAGAGGAGGAGACAGACGTGGACGAGAAGTGCACCATCTGTCTGTCCATGCTGGAGGACAAAGAGGACGTCAGGTCAGAAACCTCTGTGTTTTTTAAGAAGGAGATTTAGAAAGATTAAAATAATAATGGGAAATACGCTTACATGCTTGATGTCAGGGAGGATGATCACTCATAGTACTCATATCTCATATATTAAAAACCTATCTTTGTAATTTGGGTTCAATTCTCACCGGTATCATTGTCCATGTTTTACTGTATTTAGCTTTTATTTTTCATTAATTCAAGGGAATTTCATTGGGATCACTGTTGATGTTTTATCTTGTTCTGGATTTATTTTAATATTGTTGTTGTGTTTTCTGTAAAGCACGTTGGGCTGCTTTGTGCGTGAAAGCTGCTCTACAAATAACGTTTATTATATCTGTACGGTAGGGAACCTGGTCCAAGCTCAATATCCTTTTAATAATAATAATAATAATAATAGATTACATTGTTATAGCGCCTGTCAAGGGACCCAAGGACGCTTTACACGCTGTCAACAAACAAGCAAACAAACAAACAAGTAAGGCAAATAATAATGTAAAAATTAAATATGTAGCAGTTGGAGTTTGATGGGTTAGGGGTCAAAGTAATATAAGACTTGTCAAATTAATATAAGACTTTTCAAAGACCCTGTGTTTCCTTTGTCAATATGCTAACATTAGCTACAGCTGAAAAAAAATAAACGTAAATTTCTCTTAAAATTAAACCTAACCCCAAGAATATTGAGATTGCTCAATATGGAACTACAATCAACTTTAGAGGTGTTACATACTCTTGTGAGCTTCTCTGCTAAAAGCTAGGTGTGTTTTTACATGTTCAAACCAGCACTACTTAGCTTAGCTTAGCATAACAGGGGCAACAGCTGGCCTTGGCTTTATCGTGCTGTAACAAAATCCATAGTATTTCTTGGCTCTGAGCAGTGGAGGGAATCGAAGACGTCTCTAGTTGCAGCCAAGAAATAGTCTGATACATAAACAACCATTAATAACCACCCCCCCACCCCCTGCTAGCATTAGACATACAGAGTATCTCTATGATATACACATCTAAATCTGATCTGCCCCGTTCAGCGTGGAACAGTTGTCACAACAAAACTAAAATGCATTAGTACGCAGATTCTGTTATGAGCAATGCTAACTGTTTCCACCTGTTTCCAGTCTTTGTGCTAAGCTAACCAGAGGTGGGAAGTAGTGGAGTACAAATACTTCGTTAGGCTACTGTACTTAAGTACATGTTTCTGGTATCAGTACTTTACTCCACTACTTATTTTTCTGACGACTTTTTACCTTGACTTCTTAAATGTTGAACACAAATACCTGTACTTTCTACTTCTTACATGTTGAACACAAATACCTGTACTTTCTACTTCTTAAATGTTGAACACAAATACCTGTACTTTCTACTTCTCACATTTTCCTTTTTTTTTTTTACTTCTACTTTTACCAGAGTATTTCTAAACACGAGTATCTGTACGTCTACTTGAGTAAATGATGTGTGTACTTTTGCTAACTCACATTCAACACACACACATATATATATCTCTCCTCCTTTAATCAAGCAAATAAGTGTATTTTCTAAACTGTTGATCTTTGCTTGTACCCGATGACATGAGCATGTGCACAGACCTATTGGGGGTGTGAAATTCAGGGGATCAGTCCCAGCTCCTGGGGGTGGGGGGGAGGGTCAGTTTACAGCATGTGGAGCCTCAGCTGTCTGCAGGATTGATGACTGGACAGAAGTCGCCTCTACGTGCCTGAGTGAACAGAATGAAATCCCTGCAGGGTTCACAAGTTTCTCTGCAAGCTCCAAACTGAGAGGAAACATGTGTCGGGCGCTCTTAGATAACAGGGGGAACATGATAGAGAAGCACTACCAGATATAAGAACAAATAACAATAAGGAAGGGAATGTTCAGGGGACGTTTCAACCCCAATATGAATCATTTGTTTATCAATTACTCACCAAATGTTACCCTACATTCACACGCCTCCACTGTGAACTAATGATCTGAAATCAGAGAAAAGTGTAGATGAATTCAACAAAGTTAGGGCAAAAATATATAAAAAACATCCAGTCGTATTCTCCCTACTTCCCAAACACCTGCATTTTGACTAAAACATTCCCTTATCTCTCTTACTGTAAACGTGTTTGATTTTGTAAGTTTTGAGTGAAAGTGAATCAAGACTTTTCTCTGTTTTTGGATTGTTTGTTCAAAAAAGAACAAATAATCCCATTTTGTTCGTCTATGTGAGAAAAACCAAGGTTTATTTTGGTTAAGGGTCATTTTAAGGGTGATATATTCCTTTAAAAACTACCTCAAGTTGTCAAAACATGTTGGCGTTATTAATCTGATTCAGCCACTAACACACAGGCTTTTATTATTCTTATATCCTGGTTTCCTTTGTTTCCACACACACTGTGAGAGTCTAGCTTGAATCATCATTAACTCTCCCTCTCTCTCTCTTTGTCCTCCAGGAGATTACCCTGCATGCACCTCTTCCACCAGGGCTGTGTGGACCAATGGTTGGCCACCAGCAGGAAGTGTCCCATCTGTCGAGTGGACATCGAAACACAGCTGAACCCTGACAGCTGATGAGATTTAACTCCCCCCTCCTCACCCTCCTCTCTTTGTCAATCACCCTGGTGTGGTTCCTGCTTTCTTGCACCCTCCCCCTTCCTCCC